CAGGAATGAGAGCAAGGCGAGGCCAGACCTGTCCTCTCCTCACGGAGGGATGGAGAGAGATTTGTGCGGGTCGGGGGCCAGTTCAAGCCCTTTGCAAGCCCTGAACTGCAAACAAGGCTCAAATCGGAGCAGAGGAAAGGGAAGTTGAGGAAGATCTGCCTGGGTGAGTCCAGACCTCCACAGAACTTCGCTACCAGTGAGGCTGCAGTAACGTTTGTGTTGGAGACAGAGCCATGAGACGAGTTCAATAGCTCCGTCCTTGCTGCTCTCCCCTCCCATCCCACCCCGCACCATCGCAGGATGCCAACTTACTTTTTGAGGGACAACGACAGCTCCTTCAGCCGCTTCTTCTGCCGTGCGATGGAGCTGGAGATCCCATCCTGGAGCTTGGTTAACTCCTCGAGTTTCTGCTTGTACAGCTTGTGATTATCCTGGGGAGGAGAGAGTGGCATGCATTACAGCTGCCTGCCCAGCCGCCCCTGTCCTTGGGTCCCCCATGGGGACATCTATTGACGCATCTGTTAAAAATTATCTCTAACTTCACCTGCGCAGCAGGCTGGGTAAGACACGAGGCAGTTGCAGAAGGCCAGGCGTGTCTGGGGACAGCCTGCAGCCGTCCCTACTTCTGAGGGGGCAGAAGCAGCCGCTGGGGACGTCCATCCCCAATCCCAAAGGAAGTTATCTCCAGGTGCAGGCACATCCCTACGGCACAGCCTGGTCCTGTCCTCATATGTGGCTTCTGTCTGTGCCCCCCCCTCCAGCTGCGGGCTGTGAAAGTCCAGCCAGCAACATGGTCACAATCCAGGGATGCTCCCATGGTTGGGGAACCATTGGCTGCTGGGACAGGGCGAGTGGCGCGCTCTGCCTGGAGGGTCGTGCTGTGCCTGCCGCTGCCCCGACTCCTGGCTCTGGGGCTCCATCCATGCCGAGCACGCTCCAGGGAAGCTGGAAGCAGCCCGATAACGAGCCGGACAAAGGGGACAGACTTGCAGCAGGGCTGCGGCCAGCTGCCCAGCTCTTCGTGTGGCAGTAACCCAACCGCACCTGGGTAAGGCTAGATGCCATTCTTCACTATATTTAGAAAGAAAAGGAGAGAGCGTGCTGGATCAATGCTCCTTCTGCTCTAGGTCAGCTGGAAAACAGCCTCACCTCGAGCACGGGCAGCCCGAATGCCACCTCCACCGGGGAATTAAATGCTCGCAACAACCCTTTGGACTAGACCTTGACGCACACACGTTTTAGCCTCCGTAACTCTTATCAAGCACTTTATCAGCAGTTCCCAAAGGAGAAAGGTGAAACTGAGACGCAGAGGATGGAAACAACTCATTCTCCCTCTGGTGACAAGCAGCAGCAGGGTGGGAACGGATCCCAGATAGCCCTGGCTCCCCCAGCAGTGATTTATGACCCCAATCTCTCATGGGACGTTCCCGGCTTAACCATCAAGCTTTCCTGCTCCCGTCTGCAGTCACCTCCTTCTCTTGCTCTGGAGTTAACTGAGAGCAAGTGGCTTTTGTGGCGGCTCCTGTAGCAGTGCCAGCCTGGGTCTTGCTGCTCCAAACACGATCCGAGCAGCATGCTCAGACACAGCCTGGATCAGGAGCCACCCCAGGAGAAGGTTTCCAAAGGAAAGGGCCATCACGCCGCGAGGGCCGGCGGCGTGGGGCTGCACACAGGGTTTGAAGCGGGCGACCCAGGCCATTCACGCCACCCCTATGGAGCAAGAGGAGGTTTCTCAAAGCCTCCCTTGCCCCAGATCTGGGCACAGCTGCGTTGTGGCCGCAATGACATCCGCTTCGCCCCGCTCTCGGGGGGGAAGGAGGGGGAAAGGGAACTGGTGCAGATGCAGCCGATTGATCCGAGCTGCAGCAGAAGATGGTTGGCCAACCTTTTCCTTGGGTGACCCCTGTCTGAGCTGAACCCTGCCCACTCCTTCCCGTGGCAGCGAGCGCCCTGGGGATTACACAAAGCAGGTGGAAACGTCTCCGGTACCAGGCACCTTCCCTGCACAGAGTCCCCGGCCACCCCGGCGGGTGCCGGAGGGAGGTGCGGGGACCAGGTGCCTGGCTGCAGCGTGGCCGGATTCTTGGCTGCCCTGCGGGGCTGGCTTCGGGCTGCCGGAGCCGGGCGGAGAGGGCCGATAG